GACCATGTGTCACGGCAGGGGAAATGGCCGCGGGTCCTGTTCATCACCCGATCCGGCGTTCATGAACGGAGGCAAAATTTTGCGAACGGAGCTGTTCGTGACCCAAATTGGTCGTGAACAGAAGCGTTCGTGACCCGAGGTACCACTGTATCTCAGATAATAAAATCTTGACCAACTTGCTGGCCAACAGTTAGGAAACCACTGGGAGAAGGTTCAGATCATCAGAGTGGGATTCATCAGTACGCTTATCTGTATTGTTCCTTATTGTTCCATTCCAAGAAGCATTCAGTACTCTTGAATGTTGCTTACATTCCATAAGCTGCAAATTTCCCTGAGCCAGTTACATTTAGCCACAGGTATTCATGCCTTGGCTTTGTCTAATCTTTGTAAAACATTCCATGTAGGGCTAACCATGAAAAGTGCCTGGAAGTAACAACTGGCGCAAAGTAAAGCAGCAAGGCTGCTAACCACTGCCAGGTATAGGGATCAAAGACCCACAGCGGTTGTTAATTGCTTAACAGGAACAACCAATCTATAAAGCTGTAAACAGCTCTCTGTCTAAGATAAGTGGGAAAAGCTCTTCTGAAAAAGCTGTGCTGTCAGAAGCCCATCTACCTGGGAAGATGCTTTTGGACCCCTTTTCTTAGCATGTAAAAAAATTGTAACAATGCATCCCTTTTGTCATACTTTAAATTACTAAACTAGAATTAATATTACATTTAATTCAACTTCAACTTTTTGTTAAGAAAAGTCTTAATTTTGTCAACTGCCATGACAGCCTGCATGACAGAAAATGGATATACATTTATTAAATAAATAAAAATTCTTTGTGACTTGGGGCCCACATTCCCAGAAGCAATGTGCACAATACAGAAGGGCCCTGCCCACAAAGAATTCCCCGATTCCCAGTCATTTCCTAGTCATTATTCGCATTATTCCTAGTCATTTCCAATGCATATAAAACAGCAGCTTCCAGAAGGATTGCCAAACTGATAATGTAATCCACACCAGCTAAAGGAAGAGTGATGTTCAATCCCAACCAAAATGTGTTCCATAAAACTTTAAGCTTCCAATCTCCTGCAGGAAGCAGCTGTTTACTGATGATAAGATAAATATTCTATTACCCTTTGGTGAATGCATCAGACTATAAACCTAGTATACGCCTAATGCAAGCTACTACAGTTATCACAGCTATTAACCTACACCGGGTGCTTGTTGTACATGACCGGCAAGAATTCATCCACAGGGAGCATCTTGCTGAAAGGCTGAGCTCCAATCAGCTTCTGAGCTCCCTGCAAGGAGATTGCATAGCCCAGGGTCCAGTAAGAGTAATCAGCTTCCACAAGATTCATCACATTGGGAACCGCCTTTTCCGGATGCTCCACCTGCATCCGTTTCCGACCTATATATCTAAAAAGAGAGAGAGAGAGAGAGTTGAGTCACTGAACCACATTCCATTTGCCTACGCAATGCAGTGTAGAAGCATATAAAATTTAGCACCTGCGGGGTCAGCTTATCTGGCTAGAAGATCACCAGGAGCTTCATGTAAACTATTTTTTTCTGAAAGAACTTGTAAGAATTAAGAAAAAAAACAGCCACATTGCAGTTAACATAAAAGCTTCCCAACCCCTGTGCTGGATCAAAGACCACCTGCTCCAGTATTCACTCACTACAGTGGGAACCTGCAAGTAGGGGATGCATAAAAAGCAGCGTCCTACTTATATACCCCAACGACTGGAATTGAGAAGGATATTAGATGCAATATACAGATGTTGTGACTAGTAATCATTGGTAGCTTTATCCTCCATGAACATGCGCCATACATGTTCACATCGGTGGCCATCATTACATCTTATGGTAACTAATTCAGAAGGTTATACTAAAACACTCAGCAAAGAAATCTCCTTATTTTAGTCTTAAATCTTTTAGCATCCTCACCATTGTGAGAGACAAACAAAAACTTCTTCGTATCTATTTTTTTCTCACTCTACAATTTTAGACCCCACTTTCATATTTCTCCTCATTCATTTTTATTTCTAAGCTAAAATAAACCTAAACGTGTGGCCTTTTCCCTAATGGGGAGCACTCAGTTCCATGGAAGGGAAGACATTCAGAGACAGGATTAGTGGATTACTACTTACATAAGCTCCCAGTCAAGCTGTGCTCTCTCAATATCATCCATTAACTTTGTGAGCTTCTTTTTGAACTGATGTTCAAAGCGCACATCATCTTCAATGACTAGGCTCTTCTCCATCTCCCTGTTTACTACCTTAAAATAACCATTTGAAATAATTCAAATTATATTCAGACAATCATTCACGCCTTAGTCACCTCATGGCTTGACTGTTGCAAGATGCTCTATGTGGGGCTGCCCTTGAAATGCACTCAGAAGCTTCAACTGGTCCAAAATGCAATGGCACAAGTAGTGATGGCCCCGCCTTGGTGTTCCCGTGTGACACCTCTGCTTTATGAGCTGCACTGGTTGCCAGTATACTTCCAGGTGCAATTCAAGGTGCTGGTTATGTCCTATAAATTGCTACCTGGCCTAGGGCCTAGTTACTTGAGGGACTGCCTATCTCCCATAGTAGTAGCCCTGCCAGTTTGATCCGACAGACTTGGCATGCTCAGGGTCCCTTCAATTAAGTAATCTCATCTATCAAGATCCAGGAAACTTGCCTTCTGGAATAAGATTCCCCCTGATATTCATGAGGGTCTCACTCTGCTGGCGTTCCAGGAAGCCTTCAGGGCCTGTCTATTCTCCCAGGCCCTGGATTAGGGTAGGTGGGGCCCCTGCTGGATTGTGCATGGGTATGGTTAGCCAGATTCCCCATCAGTTGTTTTTTATGCTTTTTTATTTATTTCATAAGAATTGTATTATATTTTTATTCTGCTTGGTTTTATTGTACACTTTTCAGAGTTGGACTGAGGTTGGGCAGTGTCTAAACTGAATGAATTAAATAGCTAACTAGAACTGACTTTGTCTAAGTTTGTGTCATCTGCTATGGCAGTGCCAAATTCTTTTAGATAATGTCTAAAATGTTTTTAGATTACATGCAGTCATAGAAATATTATAAGAGATAAACATTGTTTTTATTACTATTGAACGCTCCTAATTAGAAATAAAGACTTATACTAGCTGATATAAGATTCTATCCAGGAAGTTTGTCTTCCTCAAACTGGCATTGTCTGCCTATCACTCTGATCAAGATCACATGCAGAAAATGATGGGAGTTGTACTACAGTATATATATTGGCCACCAGGTTGGAAAAAGCTATAATAAAACTATCCCATGAGTTGTTTATCTACAGTAGACTTCTTTGGAAGAATGCAAGTGGACCAGTGGAAATGTCTGTTTTCCAAGAGATTCATCATCATGAGCCTACCTCTGGGGCTAGACAGAAGGACCCAAAATCCATCAGGCTTTTCTAACAGACAGACAAACAGACAGACATCCAAAGCATTTCTGTCAGTTAAAATGGAGATAAGCAAATTTTAGTTACCTCCTTCCAAATATAATAGTGGCTAAGGAAACAGCCAATCTCCCCTCTGGTCAGCACTCTAGAAGAGTATGGATCCTGGTAACCAGGAAGCATGTCTATATTTAGAGCTTTTAGTTGACTTGTATTCAGGGCCCTGAAAGAAACAAGGATTAAATTCCTTAGCCACACTTTTTCAAGATGGAAAGGAAAGCCACAGCCTATACAAAAAAATACACAAGGCTGTGTGTGTGTATGGAATGGGTAGCAAAAACTCTCTACAGATATAAATCAACACTGTGCTGGTAAAATAGGGGTTAGTACTCTTCTTTCTAACATGCTAGTTTTCAGCTTTCAAAGTATTATTTTCATAAACCAGCATTTTAAAACAATCTCTATCTGCAGTCAAAAGTGGTACAGTCTATCCTTACAACACATTTTATAATGTGTGGAAGACCTCATCTGTCTGGGACTCAATAAAAATGTGGTGGATTCTACCTTGTACAATAGGGCCTAATATGAAATGGACAGGATTTGACTACTGAAGGAGAATTTAGCTGGAGTTATAGAATTCTTGTAGGGAATTCACCAGAGGAAAAAATTCCTAGGCAAGTACCAGTGAAATGAACAAGAAAACCTGGTTTAATTTGGTTTCGAGATACTAAAAATTCCCAAGTTTTACAAATGATAATGAGGAAAGTGATGATCATTTAAGGATGACGTGGGAATCTTTTGTGTACAAAAACAGTATCGTAAATAGCCCTGGTCATATCTCGTTTAGACTATTGCAGTGTGCTCTACATGGGGCCACCCTTGAAGAGTACCCAGTTCAAAATGCAGCCACACGAGCCTTCTCTGCTGTTGCCCCTGCCCTATGGAATACCCTCCCCCTCAGAGGTGAGGCAGGCCCCTATCCTCCCAGTTTTCCAGAAGGAATTGAAGACCTGGCTCTGCCAACCTGCGTGGGGCCAGAAGAGATACAACCAACCCTGGGGGTGGCTAGCGCCTTGAACACACTCCCGGAGTTTATTAACCCCTAATGAACATCAGTCTCTTGGAAGTATTATATAGGAATCTTGTTGTTGTAATGTATTTTAATTAATTAAATATTTATGCTATTTTAATTAACATTCTTTTTTACTGTAAACCACCCAGAGTCGCTCTATAGTGAGATGGGTGGCGATAAATTTGAAGTATGAATAAATAAATAGCTGGTGGTGGGATGCAAGAAATATTTTGCTCTTTAAAAGGAGATTAAAGAAGATGCTCAATTAAGAATGATCTATCCTGTGACAAATATATGCTCCATATATCTGTGCAAAATAACTTATTAGGGAGAAAGTAAGCTTCTGAGTAGTGTGTCATGGGGAGAGACAGCAGGAAATCGTTGTGCAGAGCAAGAGCACTGTTGAATCAACCTTGATTTAATGCTCCAGTCTTCCCAAGCAGAGATGCAACAGCATGGCTCGCATTTGGCAAAGCAAGTGAATAGTAGCAGCAAGGCTGGAGCAGAAACAATCTGACAGGAAGCTTCCCTTCTCAATGTGCACATCCCACAACTACAGATACTCCCAGGTGAATAGTTGAGAAATAGTTGATAAATGTATCCATAATCACATACCTTATTTCTTACAGTCCTTAAATATGTGGCACCAAAACCCTAAACATTCTACAACTCCTTGCCCGGCAATATTTATCAGCTCAACTCACTTTCCATCCACGGCTTCTACTAGCTTGACTTCAATTTCCTGTTCGTATAAAGTCCGCAACATTCGATCCCGCCTGTCTTTTCGACGCTTCAGATTGATCATGAAAATCTAGAAGGGGAAGAGACCAGAATCTACAGTGTAGATGTAAACAGGGAAAACAGGCATGGCGGATGTTGAAAGAATGAGGGCTGTTTTTTCTCCCCAAGGTTTATTGACAGCTAACAATAAAATATAACTTGCCATCTTGGGAAGGGGAGAGGATTGCTAATTCAGTTTCAAGGAAAAGGAGATCCCCATATATGGGGAGGGGAGATGGGGTGGTTTTTTCTCCAGCCAGATTTGGTGATTTCTGTAACTGATTCTGAGACTTTCTATATGAAGATCATATTCTCTGCCCTGAGTTCCCCAAGTTCTGTTTGTGTATGGAAAAGAGAAAGGAAGTGTGTGCCTTTTAATTATTCTGCTAGACTTATTAGCAACTATCTTGTCTTAATTTTGAGGTCATTCTAAGATGAAAAGGAAAGGAAAACAGGGCATGAGCAGCAAGTAGAAAAGTCTGAGCTGCTCACTCACAAATATAGCCTGCTGAGGCAAGAGTATTACTGCACATGTGCACGCAGGCAGGCAAGAGCAACTTTGGAGTACAGGGAGTGAAAGTGAGCCAACATAAATCCAGCCTCTGCTCCCCTCTGATTGATTGAATGAATTGCATGATTGTGTGTGAGATAAAATAAATGCAAGCTATCTCAGCAGAGATACTCTTGGTGGGCCAGGGTTGACTGAAGAACCTCATACCACTACACAGTTAGTTCAAGGTAGACTGAGAAACCTAGTAAGTGTAGGAGTTCTCAGTAGAACTGTACCTGGAATTTGGAATTGAATGGCAGACCCTTGCTGCTAAATGTGGGGGCTCTAAGGATCAAGGGTTATGGTTGACTGACAAATCCACAGTAAATGTTGGATAGCTGAGAAGGGATTCCAGGAGGATTAAGATATGCCGTGAATGTGTAGAAGAAAGAAAGTATGCAGATGCACCCCAAGCCCAACTAGGCACAATATGCTCCAGTAGTTTCCTCCAAACAAGGTTGGCAAATAAAGTGTGATCACAAACAAGAGCACTTTTTTATAAAAAAGTAAGCCAGACAGGCAAGGTTCCATATATGGCGTCTGGAGGTTGAGTCATGGCAACTGGACTTCTTTTCTTTTTGGTTAGAGACGTTTCGCT